TCGAGGGATTGTAAATTTGGTGAATTAGTTTTTTAATTATAGGTGCATAGATTTTTTTGGATGGGTATTTTTGTTTAATATGTTTCGTAGGTACTTTTTTTAGTTTTCTGATCTATATGCTGGATTTGATAAGATTACTGTTCTGTCAGCAAGTGCAGAAATAACACTTTTTTTATATTTACTCGGTGCATGTGAATTATAATTTAAATATCTCCCTGGCTATACATTTTTTGTAAACCAGTTTATGGTAATGCTGCCCTGTTTATCATGTTTTATTGTTAAATCTAAAAAGTTTATAATGTTTTCGTTCTCTTTTTCTATTGACCGCCACCCTGAAAAAAACTACATAACATGATTTTTATTTATGTCATATCCGAGACGGAATTAGAAACGATCCTCGTATATGTGAATGCTTACATAATTTGAAGAAAGTGGAGAAATTGTTTAGCGGAAAATCTGCTATATAAGACACGCATGCCAAACAGAGCAATAAGTTCATGGTAGGTATTCTTCCGAAACCGCCTATTACAGTGTGTTGATGAGAACCAACAAGTTCGAAATGGCGATACGCATTTGATAGAAAAAACTTTCCCGTCGTTAAATTTTATTCTGAAACTCCCTTTTTAGGGATTACCCTTTATGTGTTATTGGCATCCAGAATCGATACTGTAATTGCGTCGTAGGAGGGACCCCATACAAAATAATAGCTTTTTCCGCGCGCACATTTCGTGACAGACGTCGTGACGCCGTTCGCTCGCTCATAACAAAACGACAGTGTTGAGCATTCAAAGGAAAAGCTAACAATAGGAAAAGCTAACAACACAAACTCACATGGTTTGCATAACATGCTTGCTGACGTAATCGCAATCACTATAATAATATTCTACGTAAATTTATGAGTTTTTAATGATATTTTGTGCGGATTCTTCTCTCAAAATCCGACGTTAAACGTACCGTGAACAAAAACAAGCTGTGGTATCGTCGAACACCTTGTAGGAACGAAGATTTTTAGGCTATTCGACAAATTATATATTTTGGTTAAGGTATTTTGTAAAAAGGAATTCGTAAGCACTATCTGCTCTCAATATTTGGAAATGACAATTTTATGGCTGTTTGTACTAACAAACTAGTTTCCATTCACTTCCACACACTTCTAAAAAAAAGAAATTCATTTGGCAACGCTGATTGTTGCTGGTTAGTCCCTTACCGCAATGAAGCAATATCTGCTTTTCTGAAAGCGAAATTTTAATTCTTCATAGCGGGGTCAAAATAAACTCCAAAAAATGGTTATTTATTTTTTCTGCCCCGTCTAATAAGTATTACACTTAGAATTATTTTAGCTCATATACCACCGTTCCTCTGTAATAACCACATTTATTTCATTGTAGCATTTACATATAAATTGTGATACATGTGTATTGGGCTCATGAATGAATTTGATTAGGTATGCGTGTAAATTCTCTTGTGAAGGAAGATCTCATTTCATTAAAACTATATTAAATGATATTGATAAATAAATGCTTGTTTATTTGCTTTAAAGTAAAATATATGAATGTTATACCAATTATGCAACATTTTTTATTGGAGTCATAAATGGACCTATGATGCCACTTACGTTCGTCAAATTCACGATGCTTTTACAGGGTTAAATAAAAACGTAACTGGAAAGAGATTTTTGCGGACCTCTCACAAATTAGTGTCTTAATAGCTATGCATTAGAAGTAGCAGCAGCAAAGTGGTAAAACATTTTGCAATAATATCTAAAACCTAATGTCAGGATAAAATACTTAGTAACATACGTAGATAAATTAAAGATTACTCAAAAGAAAAAATACTCACAAGGAAAAAGAAATGCTGCATGATATTTAAATGCATTTTATTACAACTAATAAAAATTATTTTTAAGAAAGGATAATGTTTTAACTGCTATTCAAATTACAAAATGACACTAAAGCTGTACAAAACTCTAACTTTTGGATTGTATTACTTTAAGAGAATGCGGCCCCAGGAGTGCAATCAACGAAAATCTTTCTTATATAATCCTTATGTCGACAAGATATAGCAGAGGCGAACATACTGTTATTTAGACATTTAGAAATTTTGTATAAGCTTCGCACCAAGCAATAGAGAAAGAAAATTAATATCCAGAAGTCCTATGTTATTTTTCAGTTGAACGTAAAGCATTTAAGCAATTTAGATTCAAAAATTAGCTTTTAGGATTAATCAGTCCGCTCTATTAGTGGGAACAAGCGAGGAAGGGGGCGCTCGCCAATTGATCCGAAATCTCCAATTCACAATATACAAAACCTATATTCCAAGCGTAAACGCAGGGGAGGGTATGGGTGGTTCTAACCTTCCTCCCGAAATGTGTGAGAATTTTCGCACATTTTTTTCATTTTACGTTTTCATAATTACATGTAACTTTTTAAATAGTTTGTCGACAGAATGAGTCTAAATTGTGCCTGCTACAACTATTAAGAGAACATTGTTGAAAGTGCTATGTAAAATTATACCTGCATCAGCTTAAAATTTGAAAATAACAGAAAAATACTTAAAGATCCTTTCTCGGTATACATTTGTTATCAGCGACAAGGTCATTTTCATGTTGGGCCCAGAAAGCCGAAGGGACCAGGAGTAATGAAAATAATTTTTAGGTTTCAATTTTTGACCTGACTACGCCAGCAAAATATGTGTCGCAAAAAAAAAATATTTGCAAACATTATTTATTTTTGCTAAGTTCTATATTTTTTTTAATCTTGCATTCACCCCTCACTAATGACTGGCTTTTTCCCCCAATTACCTGTACTTCCATGTGTAGGTATTTCGTATAAGTCGGTATTTATCTACTTACAATATTCTTTCTATTTACTACCAATCCTCTCCTACTAAAGTATTGATTTTACATTGTATAAGTACTAAATGTATGAGAAATTTTTTTTCATGATCAATATTTCGTCATGAAATATAAAAATCAGATTTATAAATTACCTCAAGTTAATGAAGAAGAATTGTTGCTGTTGTCACACCCTCGCCCGAAATTAAACCCGGTACTTTTGGGTTTATGCATCAATGCTCTTTTATGAGAAAATATTTTCTGCCTTGACCCCTGCTATATTCCATAGAGAACGCGGCAAAAGACCTTTTGAGTTTTATTATCTACTAGGTTTCACCCGTGTGAATGATCATCGATGACCCTATAAAAATAATTTTTCAGTACTGTTTTCTGGATAAATTGTACCGTATGTCCTTTTCTGTACCCCTGGCAATGTGTGTACAAAATTTCGTGATGATCGGTTGAGTAGTTAAGGCGTGAAATCGTAATAAACAAACGAACTCATGTTCGCATTTATAATATTATTTGGGACTGCGTAGTGCAAATTTTATAATAGAGCACCCCATACGTATATAGTAAATAAACGATTTGAAGTTTGCATTATAAACAATTATTTTACCACATAACTGAAATTATTTGTATCAAAAGACAACTTTGCATTATATTGCAATTCAGTAGATACTTTTAATGAGACACATTGAATTTTTGTGGCGTTAATGCAGCGTATTAGAGAATTAATGCTTGAATTAATTTTACCAACTACAGATTACCTCAAATTAATGAGGAAAAATTGTCACTACTGTCACTTCGTTGCCGGGAATCGAACCCGAGCCCCTAGTATTACGCACCAATACTCTACCACGATGCTATAAGGAGGTAAGAGCAGCAACACCGACTACACGTATCTAAGAGTATAGGTCGCAGTATCACCAAACCAATGATTAATAATGATTATTTGTACATTGATATAATAATTAGTAATAATCATTAAAAATGTTGCAGTTACCTCCTTGCAGCTTAGTGGCAGGGTAACTAAGGGCCCGGGTTTGATTCCCAGCGATTGAGTGACAGCAACAACATTAATTTGAGGTTATCTGTAGGGGCGAAATAAATTCAAACATTCTTTTAATGTTATATCTAATCGTAACTCGTAGTAACATGTACCTAGGGGGTCTATTAAACGCTGGCAAATAATGGAATCGACGCATATCTTATTATTTTATATTCTTTAATTCTTTACTTATTTATTTAAAGTTTACAAAACCTTACTTCACTAGGAATATAATTTTTATGGGGTTGCGCATCTCTCTGAAGGAATACGTCATAAATTTATATATACTTCACAGAAACAACTGACTTCTGTTAATAACAAAGTGTGATATATACAGGTGGATCAATGTAGAGCGTAGATTATAAGCTTATGGGGAACAAAATATATTATAACTTTACAATGTATTAATATGAAATGTTAACAACGGTCCGATACTTTTAACTTTCAACCCATTTTGGAATTAAATTAGGTGGATATGCAAATATCCACGAAACAAAACAAGGCTGTTCATTTTTATTTTCACACAAGTCAGATTACCCTCGCTTCGCTTAAGTATCTTTGAAACCAACCCCTGCAGCTGAAAACCGAAACCTTCATGGACAGTAGGTGGAAGCTATCTTACCAAATAACCTTCAATAGGCTGTGGGATTCGGTTGTAACTAAACGTATTTTTGTTATATATACTGATTAATTTATTGATTAGAACGATAAACCATTTCGCTGTTAGTTAAATATCTACTAAGTTATAGGTTAATTCCGCCAATTAACCTTTTTTGTTTTGTTTCAGAAACAAGCAATGTTGGTCAGGCAGCTGGAAGAGGAACTTCGAATGAGAATGCGTGGGCCGAGTGTTGAAATGCAGCAACAAATGGAAGCTTTATATCAGGAAAATGAACACCTAACGCGAGAAATAACTATTCTGAGGGATACCATCAAGGTAGCCATTCAATTCTTTTAATTTTCAGTTCTTGTTGTAAATACCTTACATTCCAATGATTTTCTTGCATTTGGACTCCTTAAGTTAAACTCTTACATAGAAGATCGTTATTTCAAATATATAAAATATTTGAAAATTATTACTATTATTATTATTATAGAGTCTAGAGGCTTATTTAAATATCAAAATCATGAGGGATCCTTTGGCTTTCCTATTTTAATTACTTTTTCCGCTTACGTCTCAAAGGAATCTTCCCAAAAGAAGGGTATATGCCAAAAAGCATTTGAACATTTAAGGATTACAGTTTCTTGAGCCCTAATCTTGGCATACTCACAGTACAGCGAACTTGAAGATTTGTTGCCAACGCTAGTAATGTGGGGATTTTGGTGGTATGTCATCCCAAGTACTAGACAGAAAGAAAAGTAAAACATTCTCGAAATAAGAATGAAATTGCTGTGTCACTCGTCGAGAGTTACTGGCTGTGGTTAAAACTCTTGAACATTTCCACATGTACTTCTACGAACGAAAGTTCCTTTTAAGAACGAGTTACCATTGGACTTGAAGGCAGTCGTTTAGTGTTCGAGTTCCGCCTGCAGGTTTACCAGTTCGCAGATCCTTATAGCTCGTTCGTTCAAAGTCTTGATGATACCGTACTTCTGACTTGGGTGGTGGTTGGATAAGACATGTAGATACCTGAACTGGACGTTGTCTGTTCAGGTGTTCAACTTTTCCACTTTGTGTTTCCAAATTACAAAGGTGTCTTCCACGTATCGGAACCAAGCGGTTGGTTGGTCCCGATAGGTCTCTTCTCAGTGTTCTATAAAGATATTGGTTATGGCCGGACTTAGTGGGCATCCCGTTACTACCCCATCTATCTGCTCGTAGACTTCCCCATTCCACACGAACTAGCTTCCAGTGAAGCAAACCTCAAAGAACTTATAGATGTCGGCAGGGAAGATCTTAGTCACCAGGTCAAAGCACCCTGTCAGCGGTACTTTGGTGAACAGCGAGGCGGTATTGCAGCTTACAAAGATGTCTCCTGGTTCACTGTTAATGTCTCAGACCCGGCATACAAAGTCCGCGAAGTCCTTGGTGCAATAGGTACTCCTTTCCATAGACAGCATCAGCGATACCAAGTGTTTCGCTATGTTGGTAATCCGGGGCGCTTACTATCGGTCTGAGGGGAACAATAGCCTTGTGGGTCTTGGGTATTCCAAATAGCCTCGGTGGAACAGTCTCTGCCCTCAGAATACGCTTTTAGACGTCTGCAAGTAGGGATGATGACTTAATGAGTCGGTTAACAAGGAATAATCTCGCTTGCGTTGGGTCTTTCCTCAGGGGTTTGTAGCTTTCCGGATCCAAGAGTTCCTTAATCATCCTCGGTCTTCCTCAATATTCTAAGGTCTTCAAAAGAACGGTTGCATTTCCATTGTCGGCTAGGAGTATGATAATATTCTCATCCCTGTTTAGGTTTCGCAGTGCGACTGCTTCATTCCTACTGAGGTTGCTTCTGGAAGGCTGTGCCTTCCTGAGGATATTGGATTTCTCAATTTGTATTCCTTCTGAGCCCTCGTGTGATACCTGTTTGATAATTGCTTCCGTGCAGGAGTGATTGCAAAGTTTCCTTCTTTGGCCAGCACCCTCTCCGTCAGATTGACCACGAGAAATCTGCCTCTTTTGAAACTTTTCATATTGGAATATGAGATTACGTCCATCCTGTCCCACTTCAGTCGTGTTTTGTTGCATGATTCTATTGCTTAGTGTCAGGTGTAGATCAAGAAGTTCTTCATCCGTCTTCGCCAGGCCACAACGTGTGTTGTGAATTCGTTCTCGGAGATTGGTCTTCTCAATCTTGGCGTAGATCGTGTTGTTGTTGTTATTGTTGTTTCGGCAACGGCATAGGAACATCAAGTTTTGTGTAAGGACGCTTTCTGCTTTCTTACTTTGTCCAGTTGTTGATACTGTTTATAAGTCTCATCCTCGTAGAGGCGTCTCACAATCTGCGAAAACTTTCGCGGCCAGTAGGTGAACTGTGCAATTTTAATTCGGATTGAAAGGTTGTTATGTGTTGGAGTTTCCTAACGTTTCGCTAGCACTAGTGACGAACTTCTTCAGATTTCCTTCCACCTCTGACGCTGGATGCGGACTGACAATTTCTCTTTTTTTGTTTAGATTATTCTCGTGGAGGGAAAATGTTCAAAAGACACTTTCTGAGGAAAAGGTTGGGTGTAGAAAGAGGATTGAATTGGGAAACGAGTTGAGTGTGTGGGGGGAGAAGGGAGTATTTGAGGAGGGAAGCCGTCCAAGTAGGTAGTCCACCTCTGAAGTGATGGGTGGAAACTCGCGCTAAAAAGCGAAGTGACAAATTCTCTTTTTTTTTGTTTAGATTATTGTAGAGGAAGGGAAATCTTCAAAAGACAGCCCCTGAAGGGAAGCAGTGTCGGAGTTTTTTCGACTAAAACCCTTCCTCGAGTGGGGAGATAAGCCCTGAGGGTTACTCATTCCCGGGAAGAGATTGGAATGTTGGGATTAGGGAGAGGGTTGAGAAGGGAAAAAAGGTTAAGGGTGGGGGGTGAACCGTCGGAATAGGTTGTCTGAAGTGATGGGTGGACACGCTAAAAACCGAATTATGATTTCTCTTGCGCAAATTTATTTATTTATACTGATGTTTAGGATTGCCGCGTTTGACAAGGTATACAGTTACCTGTTATTGGCCATAATAAATTCTTAGTAAAATATATATATTTAAATGATACACAAGCAGTTTACAGTACAATTTACAGTAGCAAAATTTAATCCTTATGGTAGGGGAGAGATAATATACATATTTTATAATGTTTTAAACTAGTTTATTGTTAAAGTATTTTGCTGACATTTTAATTACTGAGTCGATATTTCTGTTTTATTTACTGCACCGAAATTACTGAACTTTCGAACTAATCTACTTGACAAAACAATCTTTTATTTAGTACGCGGAAATTTAGGCTGGATTGAACTTCATTTATCATTCAAACTATATTTTTAACTGGGAAATGTTTCTCTTTTACTGGGCATTTAATTTGCAGCAATTCTAAATTAATCAAATTTGCGACGGTCTCTCTTTTAAAAAGTGTTTTAATTTTTTTTAACCTATAAAAGGAGTAGGAAAATAATTTTTGCTTTAGAGCAAAGTAAAAATCAGTCTCCATTCTTCGTTAATCGAGATGTGACAGTATAAGCAATTCGCTTATTCATCGCGTAAGCTTTTAAATCCAAAACCAGCAAAATCGTAAGATTTGAAGTTTTGCACCCCATTTGCGTGAATAATTAATCGTTGGTTGCCAGAAGGGGTTTTCCATGTAAGTCAGAGTGCGTTGTTCGGGTTTCTCCGGGCATAACGTCCGGCTCCTGACTGACGCGCCTCTGACCTAGAGGGTTGTTGACGACGTTATAACGGCTCTGCCTTAATTGATGCTTCGTGGGATGATGCCAACAGTTTAATAGTGGATTGTCCTTAGGGCAGATAAGAATTTTCATTTTCTTATTGCAATGTAGGCCATGCTATATATTTACGTCATTGAAACTTTAGCTATTACGACTGAAAATTAATAAGATGATAGATATTTTAGTAGTTTTTTTTTATTCCACATATTACGCAAGTATGTATCTTAAACGTATTGAAAATACTGCTAGAAAAAAGCTGCTAAAATTCTATAAGTTGTTCAAAAAACTGATCATTACTATTTTAATTTGATCCTCTCTTAGCAAATACAGATTATAAATTTTATTACCTTTCGTGATTAGTAAATGAGTTAGGAAAACACAAAAATAAAATGCAATTTTGTAATGTCTCTATAATGATGTGAAACTGACATACCAAAATAGTTTTAGTTAAAATTTCTTACCAAGGATGCCTTTCTTTTTTACGGGTAACGCACGCATGTTCAATAGCATCTCCGCACTGATTTGACTGATATCCATGGGATTAGAAAGTTATGGTAAGACAAGACAGCACTCACTTCATGAGTTAATACTTGTCCAATTGTCAATGGATGTTATATAAATGAAGAGTTTAAAAAAGATTTTTCCATTCGAGAGATGTATATTGTGTGTTACATATGAAGTTTGAAATGTGGTGTTACAGGCGAATGATGAGGATACCGTGGACAGAGAAGGTTAGAAATAAAGAGGTATTAGGAAGAATAGGAGAACAAAGGACCCTATTGAATCCAATAATAGGCGAGATAGGTTGGTAGGACATCTTCTCAGGCATGAAGGTCTAGTCAGAGACATATTAGAGGCACAAAAAAGAGTTAAGAGGAGTAGAGGTAGATCTAGATTAGATTATTGTTCGCAAATCGTTAAGGATGTGAATCGTTCTAGTTTTAGGGAAATGCGAAGATTAGCTCAGGATAGGAAAGAGTGGAAGTGCGTGTCCAACCAGTCTTAGGACTGACAATCTTATGATGATGATGACATATGAAGTAGGAGTAGGAATATGAAAAATTAAGACCTTTTGCTCACCAAAGTCTTGGGACTTTTATCAATCTAATTTAACATTGAAGTGGTTTCATTTTATATTTTCAAGGTGAGTAGGAATGATATCAAACTATTTGGACTTCTCCACAAATTTGGGGTTGTTCATTTAGAGGTGCGTAGTCTTGGCATTACAGTAATCGCGTTTTTCATCAGACTAACTGTCTGGTGGCTATATTTTTCTCGAATAACCTAATTGAAGTAATGAATTCCAATCCTTGAGGCAAATTTCCAATCCAAATGTAAAATAGTCAATAGTTCTCTAGTTGAGAATGGAATATTATATCACTGAAGAATTTAAAAGCGATGTATTTGCCCATTATGTGTTTTTAGCAGTTGAGGTGTAGAAAAATGAAAAACTGACGCGTTTCAGTCACCAAAGCTTTGCGATCCTTATCAATCTAATTAACTAAATATTAAAATCGTCCCATTTTAAATTTTCAAGGTGGGTAAGAATGATGTCAAACTGTCTTCACTTCCCTAC